AATTCTGCAGTAGGCATTTGGCCTGAAATTTTTAAATTTTGCTTGTCTTAGCCTTCTTGTAGAGATCTTTAGTTTTATTACGAATCAAATGCAGACATGTGACCGCTCACTAAAGGTTTTCGTACTTCTAACATTCGTTTCAATCAAGTACCCCTGACATTCTCTGTGATAACAATTTCCTGTGATCACTGCAGATTTCTGTTACAGTAGACGCATCTAAGAGTAGATCATTCTCCAACTTTCTTAATATACTAAGCTCATGATTCACCTCAAAAAGCAGTCACCCTTTTCCTGCCCGTTCAGGATTTAGTGTGATAGTTGCCGACTGTCGAGTAGTAAGACGATAAGGGGAGGGAGGGGAAGGAGTGTTGAGTGCTGAGTAGTTGGAGGAACGGAGGACAGCAGGCGCACGGCAGGTGTGTATGTGAGTGTGAGTGTGTGTGTGATCGGGGCGAGAATTGCATCCAAGAAACGGACGTTTGGACTACGGATGGATGTTAGCGATTGCCTCACATATACCCATATCTGCAATTCACCTGATCTAGTACTATGCTTAATTCATGAACGAGTATTCTTATCCAACGAGAATGCCGACTTCTCTATTTCTTCTGGGAAATATGGCTGCTTTGATGTCCTTACCGAAACTTTCCTTATGAGGTGCAGGTCCAACTGACCCTTTCCTAAATGCTAGAATTCTACTGCTCTAAGCATATTCAACTCTTCAGCTATCTCCTGTTCTCTGCTACTTTGAAAATAGCGAAACAGATTCAGTTCAAAATCTGTCTTCCACGTGCCCTTCTTGAAAATCTCCTCAAATCCCAACGGGCTCATTGATTTGTTCAAAAACTACTGAATCACACCTGTTAGCTGGAAACTCGTACAACCGTTTCGCAGCCCAAGAGTTCATAGAGTTTGTCAGCGACCATTTTTCCCATCGCACAATTCATTCATCTGCAAATAGCGTGCGGAGACCATTTTTTATTGCGCATGCTTAATCCTGATGGAAATTACTAATTTTCAAAGTCCTCCTTTTCTTTTCCACTCTTCAAAAGATTTTCTCACCATTTCGTTGTACATTACTGATTGCATCCCTTTATTTATTCAATTTTGAGATATTATCTTATTTAGCGAAAAGACCATTAAACCTCAACTCGTGTTGGATTTTTTTCGTCTCGTTTATAGCAGGGCATATGCCCAATCATGTCCGAACGTCTACGCGAACGAGTAAGGATTTGCTCATTCAAAAACATACTTTATGAGCACACCATGCAAAATCCGAAAATTTCCATAAATTGCAGCTCGGGTATTTTTCTGAAGACCTAGATGGCCAGATACGCTCCGCATCACCGGCCGGATCACGTTCGCCACGACGGTCTAGTCGTTCACCTAGGCCACCAAATGGGTGGGCTATTCTGTTTCAATTATTTTCTAACTAATAGATAATTTTCTTCCTTTGGTGCTCGCTTATTAAATTTTTCCAACAAAAAAAAACTCAATTTGCTCAAAGTAAAAGTGAGATTTATTTATAAGGAATGTAAAACTCATTTCTAACTAACGGCCTGGTTATTCGTGAATTTGGTGATGCAAAAAATTAATCTACAAATATATCAAACCTGCCCTCAGACTTCAAGTTCTCCTCAATTTTGTCTTCAACCTATACTTTTCCATGACTATCACCTTAAGACATCTTTCTTCCCTCCCAAAGCATACCACCTCTTGAAGTGAATATGTATGAGTGCAGAAAACGCGACTCAGTACAATTCATCTATCGGTGGTCATTGTTTGGGCGATGACACGCCAGTATGTTACACCGAGAACTACAGACACCTGATGCAGCTCGACAGCAGCTCTGTTCACCACACTCTCTTCGAAACACTTCGCGCGTCATCAGTCAATATCTATGATTAACTTGTGGATTCAAGATTTCAACAGAAATAAATGTAAGCTCTTAGCGGAAGCTCACAATAAGTTTAAATTGAGAAAGTTGGACACAACATGTTTCTGACTCTATTTTAAACAGGATTTGATTATCAGAATTTCGAAATGATGTCACAAGAAGGAAGTTGCTTAGATGATAGCTGGGAATTCATGAAATAATTTGAGACAGTGAAGCATATCCAGAAGTAAAGAGAAATCAGTCACTGCACTTACAAATACATAAGTCTACTTTTGCGTAGACTGAAGAATAAGCATTTTCACTATCAAGGTGGTGCTATGTGATTTTACCAACAGTATAGTGCTTGTTAGAAGAATTCTCATACATATCCAAACAGCTC